ATGCCATTCTTCCCTAGCCACAGGGCCGTCCGCTTTACCCTTTGCTGTGAACACACAGAGCGTCGGAGCAGCAGCACCACCCACAGCTATACGTCTTTACAGAAGAACCCAGAAGCGTATAAACAAACGTTACAACGATTGTGGTAAAGGCTCAAACAGGGACGTCTACGTTATCACTCAGTGATTCAGCAACCCCTAAAAAATGTAATTTTGTTCAAGTATTACACCAGTTTCTTGACTAGTGTAAAAAAAGAAGCTTTTTTTGCAAATTCGCTGTTTGAGACGCGACTTCCAAATGCAAATTTTCAGCAAGTCTTGTGAGCGGAATTCAGGATCTGACTAAAATAATGAAGGAATGGAGGGCTAGGAGCCCAGAAGTAACTCACCGTCCTGGCAACTACTGGAGACTTTTGGTGACTACGGGGGAATAGAGCTTGGGAAGCTTTGCCGGTCCGGCAATAGAAAGCTAAGGCCCTGTAAACACGGTATGTTTAAGAAAAAAAACAAAAGGGATGTTGGTCTGGGGAGCTGCTTTGTAGTTCTTCTCCTTTCTACATAGGACCAAACCAGTGTCAGCTCACTAATGAACATCCACGTTTCCACACGGTACTTTTAGAAACATCAGCCACCGCTCATAAGCGACTGACGTACAGGTACGCAGAAACCTTCTGTACAGCAAAGGCTTTAAGCTTTACTGTGTTAAATACTTTATTTCCCAGGTCCCTGCAAAGACCGTTATTCTGCCCTCCCCCCCGCAAAGGAATTAGCAAACCAGCAGTCCTGTTGCGAACGATTTCTGAAAAAACGCGAATATTCCGCAGCAAATAAGCAACTGCCACCCAGGCCCAGAGCTCCCCCGTCCAGGACAACGCAAAACCCCAGCCCAGCGTTTCCCCGTCGCGGTGGCTGACAGCGTGCGAGAGCAGAGCCGAGCGCAGGGACTCGGCTCCAGGGTTACGGAGACGCCAGGACATCGAACCGAGAACGACCGCCACCGGCCCGGCCTGGCGCCCGTAGCCGTTAGGGGACCGGGACCATGACGCGTAACGTTCCTCTTCCCTGCTGGGTGTCTGGAAGACGCGAGGAGCAAGAAAAGCTCCTGCGCTGTGACCCCCCGGGACGCCGGGCCGCGGGACGGCGACAGCGGTGCACGGAGCCCATCAGCTGCCCGCCGGGCGCCCCGGCCACGGCGCGGCGGGCGCCAG